AAAAAATTTTTTTTTTTTTTAAGGGAGTAATGAAAAAAAATTTTTTTTTTAAAGGAGAGTGATGAAAAAGAAAAATTTTTAAAGTGAGGTACGAAAAAAAAAATTATTTTTTAAAAGGGGGGTGACGAAAAAAGAGAAGGAAAGGAAAGACAGAAAGGAAGATCGGAAGATCAAACTCATCAAAGTAAGGGTTTATATAAAAAAACAAAAAACGTATCATAACAAAACAATAAACAATCACGTGATCTCGTGTTATGATACGAGATTTTTGTAAAATTATTTTCTAAAAATATTAAGTTTAAAAATTCCGTATACATTCCGTATGATTAATTTTTTCCGTATACATTAGTTTTTTTAAAAAATGTTCAAAAATGAATTGCTTATTAAATATACGGAATTTGTATACGGAATCTATAGAAACGTACATAAAATGTATACAAAACGTATCCTTTCCGTATACATATTTCTTATAGGGTGGCTATTCAATTATGGAAGATCCATTTTCACTTCAGCTCAAAATTATCGTTGTATTAAACCTTTTATGCTTTTTAATGAATATGGCAAAATAAAATTAAATGAATATGGAACTAATAATAATTTATTCCATCAAATACGTTATTTAATTATCCTAGTTTTATTAAATACTTAAATATAAATAAAATTTGTTTGGCCATTATAAAAGTCTATTTTAAGATGTTTCACAATTCGTATATATATTGATCATCTAAATGTATTGATTGATATTTCAGCAAAAAAATACGACGATAAGCTAAGAAATTTAGTTTACAGGTCATTATTTGAAGTGATCATTGAAAATGAAGGAAATTTACATTCTTTTGAAGGTGTATCAGATACGATTTATAATGATAAATATTTTAATGATAATATGGACTCCAAACCTTACAGAAATTTAACACTCCACATTATATATATGTAATACTTCATATCAAAATATTATTACATTTTTAAAATTTTTATATTCTAATTGCAATTCAATCTCATCGATTGGTTTTTTTTGGATTTTCTATCTATGATAACAGTAATGATTCATTAATTGAAAAATATTTATCACAAATAATTATTTTACAGTGCAACATAATCTTGAAAGAATTTTATTTGAATTTAGTGATTATAAGTTATATTTACGTTCTGTATTATTTTGTGTACAAATATGTAAAACCACTTTTATCATTAAAAAAATTCTATTGTTTAAATACTTTAATTACAACAATATTTTGAAAATATTGTTGTATTTAAAGTATAATTAGTATTTTACAAGAGATTTTTGATCAATTGAATGTTTTAGAATCTATTCACATTCTTTATTGTTATTCCGTAAATTCTGATTTTTGTTCAACAAATTATTAAGGTTAAAATAAACCTTTTAAATTGAGGTCTTTATTTATGAAAGAAATATTACATAATAAATCGATTACAATTTCTATTACAAAAACATGACGATTATTTAAAAAATTTTGGATTTGGAATTATGGGTAACGAATATAATGAACGAAAACAACAATTATATGAATTTATTATAAAAAGATTAGATATTTTGATTAAGGTATACCTGATGATAAGAATATTTATCTATTCATTGAAATAGTAATCTAATTATCTTACTATTGAAGTGAATTTTTATGACCGTATTACTGATTTTGAAAGAATTAAGTTCAATTTTATTACAAAAATTAGGACAAGTTCTTCCTTTTAAATTAGAATTTTTATGTTTAACTCCTGCATATAACATATAAGTGTAACGTAAGACTTTACATATTACAATTATTACATGGGGTAGGGCTTACATAATAAATGTCACTTCCCTAATGTACAGTACGTGATTTTTATCATTACAACAATCAAATTTAAAAAACTGCAGCAAACCATACATAAATATATATATTTGAAATGCTTCGCCTAATTTACCTTCGAGCATTTATGGCAAGTCTATAGATAGTTTAAGAGCAAAGTTACGTTCAGATATTTCACGTTTTAAATATTAGTTTAGAAATTTGGGTTTGAAAAACCCCACATTTTTGTAAATAGTATTTTCTTTTTAAGAAGGAATAGCAAACCATTTTTAAATTTTTGAAAAAAATGAACGTAAAATAATTCTTAAGAATAGTTTTCATCCAAAAGAAAGAAGATAAATTAATATGAGTTTTATTAATAATAAAATGATTATAAAAAAAGAATTCGATCAATTTTAAATATAGTGTAACAAAATATTTTGATCGCATAAAAATTTATTAAATACTTTTGATTTAATTAGTCACTGTGACTCGTTACATTCGGTAAAACTTAGGATAGGATAAAAAGTATATCATTAGATTTATTACTCGGATTGTAATACGAGATTTAGTTTAAGTAGACGATTTTTTAACTATTAAACTGAATCGCAACACAATTGTCATGTTCATTATCTTAGTAAGTAAAAAAATTATGTTTAAAAAATAAACTATTTGAAACTTTGGGATAAATATTATGTATTAAAATATGTGTTCGCATGAAGGGTATCAAAAAAAATATTAGTGATCGCCGAAATCATTGACTCACGGTTCACGAATTAAAGTGTGAATATATTATTTGGATACGTGAAACAATAGTGTAATTATCTGGTGATATTATATAAATCAAAGAAGAAAGAAGTATGATTAATTTTTACTGTGAATTTATTTTGAGTATCCAAAGAAAAAAACTTAAGAGTAGTTGCTGAGTTAATTGTACATGTTTTGTAAGTTGTCTCGTGATATTTTGATTAACGATCGTTGTTGAGCTTTCATTTACATTGAATTTCGCGTTTATAAACTATTCTTTCCTTTAATACTTTCCTTTAAAACTAGTTTCTAAAATAAAACTTATTAAAATATTTATCTAGTTGAATGATATCCACATGCCATATATGATGAAAATGATAATAAACCCAGTGGTGTTGACAATGAACCTGAAATGAAATGTTTAGGAAGAAGCTTTGGATATAAGAAAAAGGAATAAGAAAACAATGCTCTATTTGTAACTCATAGTATCACGATTCATAAATTGTTCTGAAAAGAATATAAAGTAGTATGATGATAAAGAAAATGCTTATCTTAAAGAATATTGATACGAGGGTACATAATATTATTATTGTATTACAGTATTAAGGTTAGGGTTAGGATATTTGATTTATGGGTTAGGTAAAAGTATATAAATGAGGAAATTTGGACAATGAAAAAATTTAAAATTTATAATCGTCATAATCCAAAATGATCAGAAATCATGTGATAAATGACCAATGCGTAATCATTAATCAGCTGATCTGCTGTGTCCAATAACGGAACTGACAATTCCGAAACTTTATAAAAGTACTTTGTTTGAAATTTTACATAGGATATCTCCCCTTTCTTCTTTACAATATGGTATACTCAAAAATATTTTCAGATCTTCCTGAATTAACAAGTGAAATTATTCAATACTTTCAGAATGATTTTTCAACGTTACATTCGTGTGTTTTGGTTAATAGATTATGGTGTCGTTTATCAATTCCATTATTGTGGGAGAACCCATTTTTAAAGAAAATTGTTGGAAACCATCACTTTATTAACTTTTACTTAAGTAAATTAAATGAAGATGACAAATTAAAATTGAAAGAACATGGAATCATAATTCCTTCGAGTACACTTTTTAATTATTCTAGTTTTATTAAATGTTTAAATAACCAATACATTTATTCTTCTATTTTTCACTACGCAAAAATTTTAAATTTTTACAAAGATAAAAAATTATTAAATTTTATTTACCTGTCATTGATCAAAATATTTATTGAAAATGAAGCTAATTTACATACCTTTGAAATTTCTCAGAGGTACTATATTAATAACGAAACTTTATTTCCATTAATCCTAGAATATCCAAAATTCATTTGTAATATTAAAAACCTAATGATTAATTTTGGCGGATTAAATAATAATAATTTGTTATTACTTTTAAAATGTTTTTATCTTAATTGTAGTTCAATTTCATCATTAGATTTTAATTTTTATCGTAAGAAACATGATGATGATATATCTAAAGTAATTGAATCACAAAAAAATCTCCAAAAAATTTCTTTTAGTTATGGTGTTAATCCTTTAAAAATTTTAACAATTTCTAATTGTTTAAATACCTTAAAAATAATCATATTTTATAAACTTAATTTAAAAAATATTAATTTTAATGAAGTATTTGAACAATTAAATGTTTTAGAATCTATACATATTCTTTATTGTTTTAATTTAAATTCTACAATTATTCAACAAATTATTAATCTAACCAAACCATTTAAACTAAAATCTTTATTTATAGAACATAATTCTTTATTACAAATTAAGTCATTAGAATTATTGTTACAAAAGTCTGGTAATTACTTAGAAAATATTGGATTTGAATCATCAATAGATTATAAATTAAAACTAAAATTATTTAAATTGGCCAAAATTTATTGTGTTAATATCAAATTTCTAGAAATGTTTGGATTTGATGTCCTTAATGTTTTTTTAGGAATTGATTTAATTAAAAATGTTCAACAAAATCTCAATTATCTTTCTATCAATTGTTCAGAAAATATGCATGGGCAACAAACTTTTGATGATAAAATTAGTTCAATTATATTACAAAATTTAGGACAGGTTCTTCCTTATAGATTAGAATATTTAAGTTTGTTTCTTAAATTTAATATAAATGATTTGAAAATATTCTTTAAGAATTCTCAAAATATTTTTATTAAGAAATTGTTAATCGGAAATAAGGTGTATCTAAATAGTGAAGACTTTTTAGCTTGTATTAAGAAATATATTATGAAAGAAAAAAGAGTCTCATATTTAGCTATGGATAATGGTCCTGATGGATATGGATGGGAGTTTAAATTAAAAGATGAAGTAGAAGAGTTTAAATCTTATGGTATTCAAGTTATGTTTCATGATAATTTATATATTAGATTTCATAATTTAAAGAATGAATTATTATATTAATTATTAATTTTTATGATTATTAAATAAATTTGTTTTACAAGATTTTAATGGCTTATTATTGCGTGGGATGATTGAAAGTAAAATGAGTAAATAAAAAGAGTTTGAAATGAAAACAATAAAATTAATTCTAATATAAATTGTACAAGAATAAATTAAACAAACTAATTATTTGAAATTCAAGTATATTGTAAACATTGTTATGAAGTTTTACATTTTAATCTCCAAATTGTTCACACCTACTTTATTAGTTATATTAATTCTTATATTTTTTGTAAAATTAATAACTAGACATCATATTTATTTAAACTTGCCCAAAGATTATTATCAAATTTCTTCCGAATGAGTAGAACCAACTTTGACCAACAAATCTATGTTACCAAAACTTCAATAATGTCCTAATTCAGTAATTATAAAATTTTTAATTTTCAATCTTAGTTTATAGATATACCGATTTATTTTTTTTTCCATTAATTATTACGCAATTTGGCTGTCTAATATTTAAGAATCGTTTCATTTTAAATCATTACTACGCACATTTGATCATGTAAGATCACTTTTCTCGCTACCTTCTTCATTTCGTTCATATTCTTTTATATGTCCTTTTTATCTTCAAATCTAACTGTCTAGGTAGATAGGGTAATGCTTTTTGGTATTTTGACGAAGCAGCATGATGTTGTGCATGGGTGGGAGCATAGCATATTTAGTTATTTACTTCGTAAGCCTGTGGGTACCAGCTTTGCTGCAGTCTCATAGTAGGGTTATAGTACTTTGTCATTATCATTTTATAATAATGAAAAATAGTAAGATTTTCGAAATGTAATAATATTATTTTGCTTTTTGTATGAATTATCTTTTTTTTAAAAAATACATAATGAGTTTTTGTTAGAATATAACTAATGAGACAAGTCATATCAACTCATTAAATAAATTTTAAGGATTCATACAATTTCTAAGAGTTCAAAACTATATATAAATTTTAGTATAAAAGTTATTAAATTATTAAATGTTTTACAATAAAACTATTTTATGTTTAAGGCAGTTTTAATTTCATTCAAAATAAAATTTGCATTACTTTACATATAGCCAATTTTTTAAATTAAGATTTTACATTCAAATTACCAATTTAATACATGAGAGTGATGGATATACAGTATATTAGCTAAAATTAATTAGTTATATGATTTTAATTTTTTTATTAACATGAAAATCGGAATAAATTTCTTGCTACAAAATTGTCAATAACTTAACATCATGTACATAAGCGAGATGGATAAATTTGTATTCATTTGAAAGAGGAAATCAATACCTAGTATCCAATGAATTCAAAATCGCATGAATTAAATCACTAATTACTGAATAATTATGTTGTTCAATTCTGATTAAGATCCAGGTATTATAAATGGCATAAAATTCATAATTCTAGTAGAAAAAGGCTAATTTTGGTCATATATCTTACAAAGTATTCATAGTTACTATTCAATTTAAAAAATTTAATAAGACCTTGGATACTGTATGCAGTGGCAAATGGTTATAGGAATTCTTTATTAAAAAAAAAAGTTCTGTGGGCAATTACATTTTAAAGTTGCCAAAAGAAATCATCATTATTATGACTTTTTACTGGATAACAACTGTAAAAAAAGTAGAATTACTTATCAAAATATTTTATTTTAATAATAATAAGAATAAGAATATTATTAATCATTTTATAATCTATTACTCTTTTATTAATAATAGTAAATTTAAATAATGTTATACTGTATTACTGTATACAATATTCATACCATATAATATAATACATACAGTAGTATAAGTGATAGCTCCCCATGGAAACTTGCCTCTTGTTAAATATAAAAATAATTACATCTTTTTTCATTTATTTATTTTTTGATCTAAGATTAAATCTCGTTATGCAAATTATTAGTTTGAATTTTTATTTATTAATTAATATAATACAATAAATCAATAAAAATATAATATTCATGTTAAATATATAAAGTACTCAAATTTTATTAATTTATTAGATATTAATACTAAAAAAATAATTGTGAAAAAAAAAAAAATTACATGAGATATATATTTTTTTTAATTGCCTTAATTCCTTACTAAAGTTATATGTTTTTGCCAGAATGTTTATGAATTTTTGGCTGGTGATACTAAAATAAAAAACTAAAAAATACAAAAGGATTAGTATGATGGCAACCATATAAACCCTATGAGAAAGTACTATCATGCAAGAGAGCAAGGTGCATAGAGGTACCTCATACAGTCACGAGCTATAGTTGTAAAATATCTACACTATATAAATAATTAATAACTGATAACTAAATCCAAATATCCAATAAATAAATAAAATCTTCATTAAATAAATCTAAAAATCTACACTGTATAAAATAAATCTAACCAAATCTAATAATTAAATAAAATCAACACTAAATACCCTATTTCCTATAAAATAAATTAAAAATCTAAATCCAATAAATAACTAAAATAACTTCACTGAACACTGCCACAATGTTCATCATAAAACAACTATAGAACCTCAGTTTCTCTCAGGCTACAGCTGGTCATTAGCAAAATATAATTTTGCCTAGCAAACAGAGCCATGTACACATGAATTCCTTTCTCTTGTAAGAACATAAAATGATACTTACCAAACCCAGAAGAACCAAAAAAAGAAGTGAAATCCCAAAAAAAGAGATTACCAACCCAAAGAGAGAAGAAGTAAAGTCCCAAAGAAAAGATTACCAACCCAAAGAAAGAAGAAGTAAAGTCCTAAAGAAAAGAGAGGAGCCCAAAGAAAGAGAGAAATTCCAATAGCAATAAATTTTTGCGTGATTGGATTTTATCCCTTTTTCTCATCAAGTTAATATAATTAATTAGTAATTTTGATGTAATATGAATAATATATTTTTCATAATTATGACTCAAATAGTATCATAATTTACATAACAAAATGATCTGATATAATGACTTTAGATATGATTCATAGATATACTGCATTATTGTTGAGTGTTTTTGTCAGGTTAAATCTGAAAGTATAAAGAAATAGATTTTTTTTCGTTTTGAAAATAAAATAATTGTGAGAAAAAAAAATATAATAACGTTATAACGTCAACGCGATTGATTAGTCATGACTCAATGTAAGTCATTAATGGCGCAGTTTGTTATTGTGTTAATCAAATACAAACAACTAGGGTATAGGTATAGTGTAGTTAATACTGGCCGGAGTTAGACAATATTGACTTAGACTTCAGTATATATAAAATCAGTAAATAAGAATTGTGTATATTTCTCTCCAATATTCATCAGTTGTTAAACAAACGAAAAATTGAAGAATACTAATAATCGGTATTGTAACAATTGGAAGGAAATGGTGTTTCATCTACCACGCTGGTCTCACCACTTGAGAAATCTGAAAGTGAAAATATGGAAAATGTTAAAAAGGTAGCTACTTATGTTGCGTGATTGTTGCAATTTCAAGTTGAAGAATTAAAGAGACAAAGTGTTTTACAAAGTAAAATGGCGTTTCTATACTAATGCCTACGGAACTAGTGTTTTGCTCGTCTAAATTATCTATATTAACACAATATCCCAGCATTAACTCTAATCTGATTTCATTTGTCCTTGCATGATTGCGTGTTTTTTTGGGGGGGATTCGTCCGCTGTGATTAGAAATACCAATAAGATATAAAATCCCAAATTCAATTTTCATATTCTTTACTAATAATGTTTTTTACTTAAATCACCGGGGTGGTCATCACCGTTGGCCAGAATTATCAATTTTTACCGGCACTATATTCTTTAATGCTGGTCAATCGTCATAATTTCAGTCATCAGTGATCATCACCCTCGGTGATAATTAGAAAAATTCTTTTTAATAACCTTATTTAAAATAAATAATGCAAATTTGATGATACTTCCAGGAATATTCATCTATATCAGGAACTTTCTACGTTTTTAAATCTTAATGCTGTAATTATCACGCTCGATAAATCCTCAACGATTATGGAATTTAGACGATTTCCATCATTCGGACAATAATAGTTGACATTCTATTTCAATATTCACATTAAACTATCAAGACTTTTTAGACGCTATTGTAACATCATAAGAAAATGAGGCGACATCACTCCATTCATGTCAGAAATTTAGGAAAGGAGTCATCCTTAGCTTCTACTTTACAAAGTTTAATGTGGATGACCACGTGATTCAAGGGTGCTGTAATTTGTGAAGTGCCATTATTGCTTCATCAACTTTGGATGAATAAGGTGTAATGTATTTTTTTTGGGTTAGTAAGTTATTAAAAGAGGAAGTGTATGATTAATTTTCGTGTGTTTGTAAAATTTGCGGAAAATTATTATGTATTTTTTTATGAAAATGGGCTATATAATATACTCAACCTGTTAGATTAAAAATTATGTCAAGGTGTGCTTGATTTGAGAGCTTTTGAGTTATCTGATTATTTCTTTTCGTGTTCATCATATCTTAATGTGCGATATTGCGGTGGGAGGAAATAATGACAAGGATTAGTAGAAGTCGAAAAAGAAAATGTAGCAATTGGATCATTGGTGTTGATCGAGAAATCAGCTTATCATCTAACTGTAATAAGTAATATTTACTTTAATAAAAACATTTGTAATATTACAGCCTCACAGGCGTTCTTAAATGAAGAACGAAAGGAACGACGAGTGTTACTTCACACGTGATATAGTGGATGAAGTTACTCCAGCCAGGAGAAATAGTAAATGAATATTTTTTACGACACGTGATTATTTTCGTTGATCACAGTTTTCATAGTAAAAAAAACGAGATCAAAATTTATTAAGTTTCAATTTGAATTATCATTATTATATTATATCATTAACAAACATTAGAGATTGGTAAATTACGAGATATTTCTACCATTTTTTTTCAAAATTGAAATTTCATTTGAAATCATTATTCCTATTTAAAAAATAAGTCATTATATAAAGAATTATGTAAAAAAAAAAGTTAATATA